TTCAGAAGCTTCGTAATACTTGTCTTGAGGGTTCTTTTTTCCTTCTTTAACTCTTCTATTTCCCCTCCATAATTCCTCCACATTTTTCTTTTTGAGCGTCGCCCAAATAAAGAAGTCGTCATGGCTTGTTTTGATTCAAAGTTCCAATAGGCACGCAATACGTGCGAAGGTAAACAAGCCAAGCGACGCGAATGTCTACTGCGCGATGTCTCACGACACAGCATCTGTCCTCGTTACGTACGTCTCACAGATAACGCACGGCAATCAAATTGGCAAAAGAAAACAAACGTATTGAAAAAAAAGGTACACTGAGTAAAGCAAACTATTAAAACTTATTCAAATTTTCCCTTTGGAAAATCATTGTCCTCGCGGCACACAGCGTGAATGTTTTTTTTTTCCATTGGACCATAGTTACCGGTCATAGCCCTTTTTTATCGTACAGACTATTCATTGCCAGTAAGGACATGTCCTCTCACCTGGTTTCCATATGATCGTCCGGATCTTTCCGATCGTCCCAGTCGTCTCAAAAAATGTTCAGACGATCGGGACGATCATATGGAAACGCTACCCAGACGATCACAAGTAGTGGTAGGCGTCAGTAGTTGTCTCAAAGGATGCCGCCGCCGCCTATTGTTTTAGGCTATTGTTCTCAGTTGTCAATCAAATTAAAAATTCAAGATGGCGCTCGGAGAGCGCTCGGAGAAGACTCGGAGATTCGTTACTTATGAATATGTAAAAGTGAATCAATATAGGTGGATAAAGGTCATGACTCACGCATGTGGGACAGAATTTTTGTCCTTGCGCACTACGCATGCGCAGTACCGAATCTTGTGTAAAAACGTTTTAAATCGTTTTTAAACTAGTCTTAAATGTTTAGAAGGTTTATAAGTAAAAGAAAAAAGTCTTTCCCAACCTTGCTATCATCACAAGATTAAGAAAGAACGGGCTGACCGGGAATCGAATCCGGGTCTTCTGCGTGACAAGCAGAGATACTAAACCACTGTACTATCAGCCCCTTTCCAAATTGATCACAACAAAGTAGTCAGTTTAACAATGTTTATTATTTTAATAATGGTGTGATTTTATTGTTACAGAATATGTTTCACGTTTAAAGAAGAACTGGAAAAGTTAAACGAGCAAGTGGTATACTATGACACCGATTCTGTGATTTACAGCTGCAAACCAGGAGAAGTCAAAATCCCTACGGGGGTGTTCCTTGGTCAAATGACAGTCAAACGTTTTTCTGTGAACGCTGCTTTCAAGGCTTCATACGTCCTGATTTATTAAGCAAACATATGGAAACCTATCGAGGAAGGGAAAAAACAATTTGTCGCAGATTTGATTTGTTATGCTTTAACTTATAAAATAGATAAAAATTTAAATGGGTTACAAAGTTCCTTGACATCCTTGTCTTCTGGTTTAGGTAAGTGTAAACTACGTTTAAAGGTCTCTTGCAATTCTAAAAGAGCCTCAGGGTAATCGTAAATGTTCCTCATTCCAATGATGGCGGTTTTCTTCACGAGTGTGGGTAAAGCGTACTGCTCTTCTGACATCTGATCACAGGCGTAAAACATATCTTTAGTAGGATTATACCACAACCACACGTTTCGTTCCACATCGTACACATACACTACTTTGTTGAGGAGTTTACACATTTCCACGGTCCAGCCTGTTCCACCCATGCAAACATTTTTTTCTGGTTCAGAACAAGTAAATGCTAGCACCAGGTCCGCATCTTTGACCACATGATAATTTCGGTGAATATACTGTAAACTGATGGGGTTGGTTAACTGTTTCTTGAGACGAAATGCTACTTTAGTTGTGATAGGAATCGCTTCAGCTAATTGTTGATGAGTTAACGGTTTAATGGAGGCTTTTCTTGGATGACAAGGAGGTATGAGTACACGCACTGGCAAACCATAGTGTCTTGCTAACTTTTCTGCTTCTAAATCCACTCCATTAGCGCCGCCAGAGATGAACGTGAAAGCCATGGTAGTATGTAGTGATGAGTTGAACAACGTGAGTTTTATAGAAGACCATTGACGTCACTGTCCGGACATGTTTAAATCCCATAGGACTTAGTTTTTTCTGGTGCATACACCTCGTAGTAAGAAATAGCTTTTTCAACAATATCATTCATGACCTTTTTGTCTAAGTCCAATAAACAACTGTTTAAAGTGTCCAACGTACAATTGTCATAGCTGATACCTTGTATAATCACCTCATGCATAAACTTTTTGTATCCTTGTAGTAGTGAAGGATCCATATGCTGTAAAATGTCGTCTAAACTCTTTGATGGCTCCATAGTGAATGCTTTTAGTCTGAGGGTCCATCGGATATTATATCACGTCGTTTGTTTGCCAAGAACTTGTAAAAGGCTGAGGTTTCTTTGTTCACTTGATGAAATATTTCACGGTTCAGCTCATACAAGTTACAATTCAATTGATCAAAGTTCATGTCGCTGTTCCCTAATGCCTCAATCATCAAGGCTCGTATAAATTCTTTGTAGGAAGCAAATTGACACGGCTGTATTTTTCTTAACAGATGTTGCAATTTAGTAGACGGTGTCGTAGCCCCCATGTTTTTCGGTGAGATCTTGTACTAGCTGTTCTTGTTTTTCAATCAACGTTTTCAACCTAGCTGCTTCTTCTTGGAGTGTCGCGACCTTTTCCTTGAGTTCTTTAATCTGTTGCAACAGCTGTGCGCAATAAGCGAGTGATTTACTTGCGACGTTGATCCAGTAGGTCTCACACATAATGAATGATCTGTGCTGCCAGGCTTGCTTATATGGGTTGGTCATGGTCGATTGATTCATCCAACTTAATGTATTTGCGTTGTGACTCTGTCAGCTTTTTCTTGAACAATAGGGTGACAATAGTTGGACTATCCTGATTAAAGTCGGGAATAAGGTTATTCCATTCTGTCACAGTCACTTCTAAAATGTCCACCAAATAATTCCTCAAGGAATAAAACTGAATGGGGTTACATTCAATCAGCGTTTTTTCGTTATTATAAGCGACAGATTTCATGATGGTTCTTTTTCCATCAATGCTTTTGGTTAAATTGCATGACAAAAACAGAGGGCGTAAATTGTCTGTTCCATGAGATTTAGGATGTGTGGAAGCTTTCTTGTCCCCCGTACTGGTAGTCGTTGTTTTGGTGGTTGTGTGAGAAGAAGGAATGACCGGGTGATCGTCATACACATCGGGTACCTGTTCTAAATGTCCATCCACATCATACAGCACTAAAAAAGTTTCGTCTTTCAAATCACCTGAATATTTTGCAGGCAGTGGAAACCCTATTTCAAACTTGATGCTTAATGTGGCATTGCTACTTGAAGTTTTGGTGAATTGAATAGTTAAGGTGTGGTAATAAATCAAATGGGTTTTGTTTCGCTCATGAGTATGTTTTTCAACCCGCAAATGATGAACTTGTAAACCCGTTTCTTCCACTGAAAATTTAGAACGGTTAAACAGCCACTCATCCTTTTGGTACCACTCTAATGCCACCGTATAAGTTTTGTTGCGAGTTAAGGAGCTCATATCAATTCCCAGTTCCCCTGAGTAATCTCCGTGAGATACCATATCCACAATTTTTACTCCTCTTAACAAGTGCAGACTCAAAGTTCTGGGTTTCCAATAATGTGGAGACACAGGCAAGTCGATAAAGTAATCGTCCAAGTCTAATCCAATAACCTTTTTCCATAAGGAAAGGTTAGTCATCCAGGGTTTGAACACATTGAACACTGTTTTTGGCATTTCATAGGGTTTATGAATTGCTTTGTCAAAGGCTTCATTTAAATTTACAAAGCGCCAACTAAACGTGGAGCAAAGATACAGCAATCCGTCTACTACATGAATGGGTTGAGTAAAAGTAAATTTTGCATTGAGACAGGTCGCGGGACCTGGTTTTACACTAGTAGTACCGTATGGAAGCTGCATGAGTAAATTCAGTCCCACTGCAAACACATTGGTAGTTGTTTCTACAACCCAACCCATTTGTTTAGCCAAGATCAAATTAATGGCTAAATAAGGCACACTTTTTCTGTTGGTACTTTCAACATTGTAATGCCGAAGCAACCAACTCGTGTAATTATCTTGAGCAGAAACATCTATTCTCCAATTATCATTACTATCTGCAAATTCATACCCCGTGGGTAATTTTTTGTTTAAATCCTGTTCCATCCACCAAAAAACTTTGGACATAAAATCAAATCCATTGGAGGCATCTTGCAAATCTGCTGTTTTAAGTTGGGACAAAAATTCCTGAGATTGACTAGATTTGAAAGCTTTGGCATATTGTTGAAATAAAATATCGGTATCGCTCCCTTTGTACAGGTTGTGAATCGAGCGAATACCGAAAGGTTTGGTAGGATTTGTGTCATGATGTTTCGTCAGAGAGGAACTGACATGGGATGTGACAACATGGGGAATGGGATTGGAAACGCCAGGTAAAAACACACTTGCCAAACCCACTTTCCATTTGCCTGGTAACCATAAGCTTTGAGGCAAACGGTATTGAAATTGTGTGGGTAAATTGTCTGGAAATTCCTGTGTTTTTTGACTAGTCAGCGTCACATAAAACGAGTTTACATTTGGCTGAGTGATGTTGTTAAATAATGAAATGAGGTAATTTATCTCTTTTATAGTCTGCCCCAACATGCTCAAGTCTCAAGGGTGTGATTAGTGCCAGTTCGTGACAGGAGTGACGTCATTGCCCAGACATGTCCAATTCCCTAAGGTATTTTAAGTAAGTATAAATTTGTGTGTTTGATGTGATTTTGCTGTATGTGTTATCTGCAAGAACCGACGTTTGACATGGATAACTCTGTTCCTCCCAAGAAAGAAAAGAAATCCAGAAAAGCCAAAAATAAGACGGGAGAAGAAGTGGTTTAATCAGTTCTGAAAACTCCAGAACCTCTTACAAAAGAATGGACAGCACCCCATTACACTACAGACGATAAATTTAGGTTGCAGAAATACCTGGACCCAGAACCTCAAATGATTGTCAATGAACAACTTCCTTCCTATGAGGAAATGCAGCAGGCCTGCCGAGATCTGCTCAATAGTCCGAGTTCTATGGAAACACAGCCTGACCTAGATCCCGTGCATATCATGGAAGAAGGAGTCGCTGTGTTACCAGATGGTCGACAAGTGGAATGGTGGCCTATAGAAGGGGAATTCGATGTGCCTAATTTAGATGAAGTTTCTTTGCAAGAATATCTGTTGGATGCGAGCAAGCCTTTGCATACCAACTTTGTCCAGCCTGAAAAAGGCCTTGCCATTTGTTCTACATGTCCCGTGTATTTTGGCAATGCAGACAGCAAACAGACAGTGTTGGATACCATTTGTAACAGCATTCATCCCAAAATCTACGAGCAATGGGGAACCTTTAGCTGTCATTGTGGATTAGTGCCTAGACTCAAGCTGAGTCAAACACCAAGAAATCCAAACAAAGTGTTCCTAAGCTGTCCTAAGACCAGAGAAGCCAGGTGTAATTACTTTCAGTGGATTCACCAAGCACCTAAACCTGTGAAGGTCCCTAAAGCTTTTACACCCTCAGCTCTCAAGAAACGAATGCATGAGATGGTACAAGAAAGATTACAGAAACGACCAAAAGTAGAGGCAGGAGGATTTAAATTTCCCTAAAAACACTTTGTTCTTGTTGTTGTAAAGAGTTTGTTGTTTAAAATTAAACAATGTGGTCTCAGTCAAGCGTGTGTTTATTTGTCTAACACCCTTGGGGATTCTTGCCCGATCTTGCCCGATAGCCTAGGGACCTTAGGAGTCTTATAAAATTGGGGCAATCTCTGGTCAAATCACAAACTCTGCTACCATGGCTTGTGAAATGAGTACAGAAGAAGATCTTGAAATGATGAACGTAGATTTTGGCGGTCCTGACGGTCCTTTAAACACTCAATTTTTGCTTTCTATTTTTGACGAAAAGAAACTCTGCCCAAGATTTTATGGAAAAGAATTGGACAAACTGAAAGTGTATGATGCCTTAAAGAAAGACATGCATGCAGAAGTAAAAACCAAATGGGGAGAATTGAAATGTCATTGCTCACGAATTCCTATCCTTCGTCTTAGTAAGACCGCCAGAAACCTGAACAAAGTCTTTTTAACCTGTGGAACACCCGCTTTAGCTGAGACTCGCTGCAAATATTTTCAGTGGATTCACACACCACTGTTTATCGATAAGAGACCCATCCATAAACTCAAGTATGCGACAAACCTGAGCAGAGCCGAATGGATGAAACAAGCAGAAGCGAATGTTGAAACGTAGAAACAACGCAATGGTTGGTACAGCAAACAAGATGCCGAAACTCAAACAGAGCAGAATCAGCAACATACATGGTTTGCTGAATCAGCCAAACAGTTTGCTGAATCAGCCAAAAAGCAAGAAGAACAAAGAAAAGCGCAAACAAAGTTTCCTTGGAACAGCACCCCTCTGCCAAGCACCTTTCAGTCAAGTCTAGAGATAGAGAAGGAACTCAAAAACGAGAGCAATGGAAGGAGGCTGTTAGTATTGCTAACCATCGGTTTCATTCTCGTGTGAAAAGATGGCATCATCTTCCTCCAGCGGATGCAAATGTAGCTGAGTATCTAACAAAACAAAAAAGCAAAGGCCATTCGCTCTCACCTGCGGATGAAAAGTTCTTAAATGCCTGCATAGCAAGCAAACATAATGAGTGGAAACCTCCCCCCGGAGCTGAAAAGTATGAAAAGAACGAGGTAGCCATCGCCAAAGCAGTGTATGAAGACTGGTCTTTTGATTATTTGCCTGAAAAAGTCTGCAGTTTGGCTTCCTATTGTCGCAACAGAAAGCAGAAGGGATTACCTTTAACGCCAGTGGAAGAATGATTTTTTGCTCAATTAGTGAATGTATGTGTTCCAGAAGAAACAGACAAGCAAAAACAAGAAAACGAAAAGAGATTTTTTCAAGAATGTGATGCAAACAATGCAGAGAGAATAAAATGTGGATTGCCTCCTCATTCCTATGAAACATTTAGAACATTTGGAACTGGAATCTTTTGAGTGACTCTTTAAAGTTTGCATAGCATGGAAACAAGCAATTACTAGTTCTGTCAATTTTTAAATAAAAGTGTTGAAAAGAAATGTTATGTGGTTGTTTTCTGGTTAGAGTTAAACCCTAGCGCCTTGGGATTAGGGTTAGAGTTAGGGTTAGGGTTAAACCCTAGCCCTTGAGAATTAAACATGTTCAAACAGGGGGAATGAAATGTGTTCTAAAAATAGAATATAAAGACGTATAAAAATCGATCATTTGTTGTGAAAAGTATTCATTCAGTCATGGGAAACCTTCAGTATAGAAGTACGGTGTGGATTTGTCGTCGTTTGTTAAACGACCTATGCTCCGAAGACACTTGTCCTCCTATCCCAATGTTTCAATGGATGATAAATCATAACCATACAACCTGGGGACATTATGCAGTGTACATCACTTGGCTGCATCGACACCATCCATCCGAAGGAATCAAGGTGTTTGACTATTTAAAGAAACATCATGCCAACAACATGTATTCATTTTGGTATTTAGCAAGTCGCCCTTTAGTGTACTATGTCAACGAAATTATCCGCTTCGTATGTCGATCCTACCGAGCCTGGATCACTGGGAGGTGTTGCCAAATTTGCCAAAGCACACAAGATTCCCGTGTCCAAAGCCAAGAAGGAACTGCAACAAGTACTGAGTTACACTCTGCACAAACCAAGACGTCGGCGGTTTAAAACATTACCCACCCTGGTGTTTAACATCAACGAACAATTTGTGATGGACTTGGTAGACATGCAAAAACTAGCCAAATACAACAAAGGGTACAAATATTTACTGACGGTGATTGATGTGCTCTCAAAATTTGCCTGGGTAGAGCCGTTAAAGAGTAAAAGCGCAACAGCGATGGTAGAAGCCCTACAAAGACTATAAGCAAGATTAGGAGATCGTTTACCTCAAAAAGTACAGACGGATTCTGGCGATGAATTTTATAATGTTAAAGTGCAATCCTTTTTTAAAAAACAGGGTGTGAATCATTTTTCTACGCATGGAGATCCTCACGGTTCCGTAGTGGAACGTTGGAATCGAACTTTGAAAACGAACATGTTTCGCTATTTTACTGCGCATAATACGCTCAAGTATATTGATGTGTTGCCTGCTTTAGTGAAAGCATATAATCATTCCTATCATCGTAGTATTCAAGAAAAACCTGTCAATATCAACGAGTCCAACGAAACCGAAATTTGGTATCGTTTATACGATACGAAAAAAGACAACAAAGTGAAAAAACCGCAATGTCAAGTAGGTGATAAAGTAAGACTCAATAAAAAATTTCGTCCTTTTAAAAAAGGGTATTTGCCTGGGTGGACCGAAGAAGTGTTTTTAGTGAAACAAATCTATACGACAAAACCAGTGGTAACGTATAAACTCACGGAATGGGACGGGTCTCCTATAAAAGGAACGTTTTATGAACCAGATCTGCAAAAGGTCAATGTCGCAGACGATTCATTATTTCGTATTGATCAAGTTTTAAAACGCAAAGGAAAACAAGTCTTTGTGTCTTGGAAGGGTTGGCCGAAAAAATATAACTCTTTGGTGTCGAAAAAAGATTTGCAAGTGTTATGAAGAGTTTTCGATTAACCTTGATCAGCGATCCCACGGACGAACATCCCCAAAACCAAAATAATAATTTTAAAGTGCGTTTACCGGTGCGACTCAATTTAGAAGGCAATACCTGGCAAGCCAGTTTGTGGAGTGTCTCGGTCCCTGATGTAGTGACACCAAGATACTCAACTATCGCTACACCTTGACCAAGCGTCATGCTGTGGCCAGTGATTGGTTTATTAACTTTGAGCCCAAAGACAAAACTGTGACTTTGAAGATGTCATGGGTAGTTCGTATCCTGTCTATTCAGGTCATCAATTATGGCAGAATATTATGACCCATATGGAACAAACCATCATGGAAGATGTAAAGTCAACCTTCGACACTTGGAAAACAACCAAAGGTAATACAGGCACTGTTTCCCTGAAATCTACTTGGAAACCCACCTTTGAATGGAACGAAAACACCCTCGTGTTGAAAAAAGTATCCCGTGAAGATGCGTTTGCTCGTGACAGACGGCTAAAAATTCACCCCCTTTCCTCTGTAGGGATACATGTGGATTTTGCGGAAAAGTTTGGTTATTGTTCAAAGACAAAAACAACCAATACCAATTAGGACCCAATTTAGACTTTGTCATACCCACAACCACTTATACGACATCCACTCCACGCGTCAAAAGCAATGATAAGTACCAATGGCTAGGAGAGCATTTTGTGAGCATTAGTCCATCAGATTTATTAGGAGGAAACTCGTTATTCAAAGTCAAACAAGAGAATGGTCAATCGTATCTGTATCTCACGCGTACTGTGGATTGGCATTTTCAAAATCTGAATGTCCTGTTTAATACGCATGTGGGAACCGTAAAACAAACGGTCATGATTTATTGCGATGCTGTAGAATCCACCATTGTAGGATCACAACGACATTCGCTGTTAAGAAAAGTGGAATTAGAAAGAAAAGGAGAAGGGAGAGCGACCATAGAACCTTACCATCGTGAATGGATTCGAGTTCGAAATCAACACATTGAAAACATTGAAGTGTCGTTGGCTACACCAGATGGTTCCTTGTTGGTCTTATCCCCAGGCAAAACCATCATTACCCTTGGTTTTCAACAAGTATAGAAGAGACCCTGTATTATGGAAACATCACAACTACAACAAACAACATGTTGGGAGGATCACTGACGCGTTATCATACCCCCACTATGCACGGGAGTGGTTTTATGCAAGAATTGGTAAAATTAGCGGGACCAAGTGTAGTACGCTCGATTGGGCATGGATTACATGCTTATGAAAAAGGGGCGTCAGCCTCCGAAGCCTTAAAAGGTTCAGGAGACGTTTTAAAAAGAGGACTCAAACGTAAAATACCAGCGGCTATTGGTCTGGCTGTGAAAAGCAAAGCCAAACAAAGCTATAAAAAGAAACGACAGCATGTGAAAGACATTTTAGGGGTGTAAACCATGAGACAAGGACAGAAATCACAATCTCGCATAAGACATCAACGACCTGTAGGTCGTTACCATTCACCTTATCAACGGGGAGGCACTATTTTTCGAGATCCTCCCAACCCATGGGGATTCACTAATTGTAAACGGTATGAAATAGATCCATGGATTCTCAGAAGAATAAGAAAACAAAAAGGAGGGAAAATGCATCCAGTTATCTACCCTTGGAAAAACAAAGGACGGAAACGTATAAATAGACGACGCAAACGGCGTTAAGTTATCAGTCCGTCAACATGTCGCTGAATCTGTTTGACATTCCCGACATTAACTATAGCTATGAAGCCAAACGGTGGATTCCTTTCAAACCAGCTAATACTGGAACACGACCTATTCTTTTTACTGTACCAGCAGGGGATGATTATTATGATTTAAATGAAACCAAGCTAGAAATCAAAGTGCGACTGAACACTGCAGGGACACAAGGTATTTCTAGTGCAGAGGGCGCGCCTTCGGATGCTAATAATACCAAATTTGTCTATTGCGTCAACAATTTTGGTCATTCTCTCTTTAATCAAATGAATGTGTCTTTCAATGGAGTGTTGATGAGAGAACAAAGCAATGCCTATCACCAGAAAGCTTACCTAGAAACCCTACAGAATTTTAATCGTCAAGAAGGAGAAACGACTTTGGCTGCTCAAGGATGGGTGAATGAGCTCAATGTCAAGGAAGAATTAACTCCTACCAACGCGGCCAATGATGATGAACCTAACCCAGCAGCATGGAGTGGAAAAACAGGCTTGAAAGCACTCACCAGTCGCTTACTCGGCAAAGCGTATCCTACCTTTATCATCAAACCTCACATCGCGGTGTTCAGAACAGGCAAATGTTTGGTACCTAATGTACAGATTGATTTGGAATTGTATTTGAATGACAGCAACATGTTTCTGTTTGGTACCCCAGACACAACTACGACAGTCAACAAAAAGATTCCAACACTGGGAGACAATGATTTGTTTTTTACACTCTGGATGAAAAACGTCACTCTCAATGCCTCTGTGTATTCCAGGCTACAAAAAGAAAGAAGTTTGAGTAAAACCAAAAAAGTCCGCTACCCTGTAGTTCGAAGTGAAATCCGAACGTATTCGTTCGATGGAAACAGCACTCGTTGGTCTCAGGACAATGTCTTCTTGAGCAAGGTTCCCGTCAAAGTCATTATCGGACTCATGAATTCCACTAATTACAATGGAAGTCTGAAGTATTACCCTTACGCCTATGAAAAGTTTGGCGTCACCAGAGTTCGACAACGAATTGACGGAGAAGAATACCCTTACAGAGCCTTGGAACTAACAGGCAATTCCAAAGCAGAAGATTTAGTAGGCTATGATCGCTTCCTCACAGCGTCAGGCGCTTACAAGCACCACAGGGTACCCATGCTGCTCCCAAGCGACTGGGGACAAGGCAACAATTGTACTTTGTTCATGTTTAACAATGCTCCTGGCGATGCCGATGATCCTAGCTACAGAAATCCTAAACTCACAGGGAATGTCAGTTATGAAATTGACTTCAGAGCCAATGTTGGTCACAATGTGACCGTGGTCATTTGGAGTGGGTATGAAAATGTCTATGAAATAGACCAGTGGGGAGGCATTCTTTATTCCATTAACAGCTAGGATGGAGTTCGTACCTCTCAGTGATACAGTCCTCCGTTACTTGGCAAAAGACGATCGCGAATTACGACCCTACATTCGTGGTGTGTTTCCAGCAGACCAAGTACCTTTGGTGTTTAAAAAATGAGTGAATGCTTTTATTGTCAACACTGATCCCGCAAGTCAGCCGGGTGAACATTGGTTAACCCTTTCGACCGAAGGAACTACATATGAAGTCTTTGACAGTTATGGGTTACCTCTTTCTACCTACAAAAATCCTACCTTACAAGCTTGGTTGAACCAGTGGAAAGAAATCATTAGCAGTGATCAGACTTTACAAGCCATGGATAGTTTTACGTGTGGGCATTATGCCCTTTTCTTTTTAAAAGCAAAAGCAAGACATGCCTCTTTTCAAGATTTTTTAGCCCAGTGGCATTCTAATAATTTAGTGTTAAATGATAAGCGAGTCGCAGGCCAACTGTAACGTCTTATTAAAACAGAGCTAACCGAGTATGAGCAATCTAATGTAAACCGTTCTTCTTTTTTCATTCATGAATAAAATTGTGTGTGTTACTTTTGACTGTGTCATTTTTATCATGATATTACGGGGGGATGTTCAAAAAGTGCTCCATGCACTGTTAGAAAAAGAATGGTCTTATTGGAAAGATCACAAACAAGAATGGATCAAACTCTGTCTGAATCCAGCAGATCTGTGGGATGGGTATCATTGGCAATTTGTACGATGTTTAGTGCAAGCTCAGTTGAGGTGGGACTTAAAAAATCATATAAAAGGAATAGGTGAAACCCATTTGAAAGATCAGATACTTCTACTCATTCAGTTGAACTCACCGCGATTGTATCAACAACTATGGCCCGAAAGCGAAAACAACGAGTAAAAAAACGAAAAAGTCAAAAAGGGGGTGCACGATTTAGGCGAAAACCCCGTTTGGTAGACAAAATAGCCGAGGGAGTTGCCATGGGGCCGTCTGGTCCTTCTCCTAATTTTATCAAATTAGGGGCCTTTTTAGGGAAACAAGCGTTGAAAGGTATAAAAGATAACGTCCGTCATTATCAAAGAGGCAAAGGACTCGGCACAGTCTTATCCACTGCAGCCAAAATTGGGTATAAATTGGGCAAGGACAAACGCTATAAACGTATGGGTGCAGTAGGAGCAACGGGACATTACACTCATTTTCGTAAGCCGTGGGAAACATGATTCGACAACCTGCTAGCGTAATTGTAGCAGGGCCCTCAGGTAGAGGGAAAAGTGAATTAGTGGAAAAATTACTCAAAGAAAAAACATTGTTCGAAAAAAATAGTGTATTGTTATGACCGATGGCAACCCCGATTTGATCGCATGAAAAAACATATTATGTTTTATAAAGGACTTCCTCCTGAAGGGGCTCTCGTGAAATGGTTTACGCCAGAGCATCATGGCATACTCATTTTGGATGATTTAATGGAAGAATCAGGGAGTGATAAACGGGTGTTGGATTTATTTACAAAAGATTTTCACCATCGAGGTATTACGGCGCTTTATATCACACAAGATCTCTTTCCCCCAGGCAAGTTTGCGAAAACGATTAACCGCAATGCACACTATGTGATTTGTTTTAAATCACCCAGGGATAAGACAGGTATTCGACATTTACTGCTTCAGGTGTACCCTGAAAAATGGCGTCAAGTACTCAAATTGTTTTTAAAGCTGACCTCCCGTCCTTTTGGGTATTTTATGTTGGATTTACATCCTGCCTCCGATGACTGTTTTCGTATTTGGAGTCATTTAACCAAAGAAGAGGGAGCAACGCGAGTTCATACCTTTGACGAAGATATAAATAGCCGTTCACTCTTCAACAAACGCAAAGTTAAACATGAAACGAAAAGGTCACCCAAAAAGAAGAAAAGGTAAACCAGGGGTTGGAAGACAACGAGGTGGGATTGCTCCCCTGTTAGCCGCAGCGATTCCAGCTTTAGCGGCGGGAGGAAAAGCGGCCGCGTTAGGAGGGTTAAGTGCCTTGACGAATTATGGGAGTAGAAAAGCAATTCAAGCGTTAGAGAAAAAGAAGTATAAAAGGAGGAGACGTCCACCCACACGTAGAAAGACATAAACATGGGACGAATGACGAGACAGGGTCATTTTTTAAACGATGTGTTAAAAGAAGCGAACCAAAATAAACGGCAACAAAAATTACGGTACGCAAATGCTGATCAAATTAATGCGGTGAGTGAGTTAGTGATGAACACATTGCGTGGAAGTGTTAAACCTGGGAGAAAAACACTGAGCCTTTTAAAACCCTATCGTCAATCTCTTCGAATCATTGCCAACCCTCGTCAGAGTATAAAAAAGCGAAGACATTTGATGAGTTCACAGATTGGCGCTGGTGCGTGGAAAGAATTACATCGCTGTTATCACTGTGCTAAAAGACAATATGAAACGTAACGTGTTACAACGACTTCTTTGTCTATTAGAGTATTTGCTGCTACTTGCCCAAATGATCAAAGAGTTTCGACAAAAAGTCAAAGAGAGATGCAGACCCAAACCCATATAAAGACAAGACTAAACTCTTAGTTTCATTCGCAAGGATGGCCGGCATTTCCTCCACACCGATTGAAAACTCAGTGCAATTTTTACGTTTGCGAGATAAATATAAATCGAATATTTTAGACGATAGCCGTTTAACCAAAGCAGCAGGTTTAGCCGCTCAAAAAGAACTTTTGTTGGAGAGTCCTGACCCGGATACATGGAAAGAACCTCGTTTAAAATCAGTCAACCGAGAATTACAACAATGGGTCAAGAAAATTCGTCAACCAGGAGGAACACAAGGAATAAGTCGCGATGAAGACGACAGTGATGATGAAAATTTAGCCGTAGGCCCGTTACAAAATTTTATGGGAAACATTTCAAAAATCAGTAAGGCTATAAAAAGGAAAGCAGAACCGGTCACCCCTCAGTCAGCGTTACAAACGCCTGTGGTCAAACAAAGTCCTTCTACGAGTAAAAAACCCAAGTTAACGTTTAAGACCGGATCCAGGGCAAAGCGGCTAGTACCCAAAACCCCGAAAAAGACGCCTTCCTCTGGATACAAGACTCCTAAACAGAAAAAGACTCCTTCCCCTCCTTCCAGTGTTTCTAGTACAGCGGAAGAAGAAGGCGTTGCTAATAAATCCCCTTTTCAAAGAGCTCGGGAGAGTATTGAAAAAAAATTTGCCGAGGCATCAAAAAGAGCTGCTGAAAGGGCTAAAGAAAGAGCTTTAAAGAAACTCGCCCCTGCTGCAGGTTGGAAACCGTTTGGGACACCGACAAAAAGACGATTACATGGCAAAGACTGGTAAAAGAAAGGTTCGCAGAAAAAGACCGCAAAAAGGAAAAAAGCGTGGTCAGCGTGGGGCTGCGTTGGATATTCAAAAATTAATTGAAAAAAACAGGCAAAGAGTTTCATTGGCCTAAAGCAAATTACCTTGGTCCAGGGACCCGGCTTCAACAAAGACTGAAGAGGGGTGACCGAGGCGTCAATAGATTAGACGAATTAGCGAAAATCCATGACATCGATTATTCCAAAGCGAAAAGTTTAAAGGACAAGTGGAAAGCGGACGATAAAATGATACGCGCTATTAAAAACCTCCCTGGGAAGAAAACCAAACAAGAACGGATCGTCAAAGCCATTATGCAGACAAAACGCAAACTTAAGCTGTAATTCTGTTTGTTTTTTTATTCACTTAATAAAAATTTGTTGTTACAATTGAATTGTGTCTTATTCTTTCCTAAAATGACTATCCGATTGAAATTGAACTAGTGTCCCATCCTGCTTTTTCAGTTTCACCCCATAATTCGATTAAATTTACGTTCGCACTTTGTAATTCTTTGAACAAAGGCATTTTTGGTAAAATAGCTCCAGCCACTGACACTTTCCATCTTTCCCCGGGTAATCTTAACTGAGGTTTGACTTTAAACTGATTGGCCACATTACTTGTGTATTTTTTGGTGACATCGCTTACGAGGGTCAAATAAATTTTCGACATCTTACGACAAGTAATTTGACTAACCATACCGCCCTCTATTTATACAAAAACAGAGACCACACCAATCCATTGTGTCGCGAACTTAGTTTATTACATCATCTCACCTCCCTTCGATGAAATGTTACAAACCCTAATTTAATTTCAAAAACAAAGCATACAAGGGGTTCGCGCTTCCAAGCTACTGTACCCCTATAAAAACTACATACAAAAGCTAAAAGCGGGTTCGCGCTTCCAAGCTACCGTACCCGCACTATTTTTACAAATCCATTAACAGTTCCACCTCTGCTCCAAACCAATTGTATCCATACGGCGTAGAAGAGCGAGTGGCGGGGTCAATCACGCGTTTATCAAACACCAGTTGATAATGTTTTTTACGTTCCGTGAGCTTGATTTTCTTGGTCACTTGATCTCTTTGGAAAAAATCGGGAATGGTGATCGCCATTCGGCGCGCTTTTTGCAAGGGTTCGTCCAATTCTTTTAGGATGTTTTCTTTCATCGTGTAGTAATTCAAGATTTTTTTCGTCTCATAATTGAGCGAAAACCCACGTACTTTACATTCGACTTTACCTTTCTTCGTCAAGTAGCCATAGTTTTTCGCCCCGCCACTGCAAAATTTTACGATCACGTCGCCGTCAATCTCGTCCGTGAATTGTCCCAAAAAATCTCCCAGCGGGAGCTTGTCTTGACCCCGCTCGGTTTTATAAATGACCGAGTCTGTATCGTAATACAAGACTCGGCCACCTAAAAAATCAAGAGCATCGTAAAGCTTGAGGCGAGCCAGCGAAGTCGTGAAGGCCGCGATGAAGACGTTTTGCTTGAACGAACGCTGGTATTCGTCTTCGTTTTTAGTGACCACCAACTCCATCACATCTTCGGAGCAGATACGTACACTGTGAATCTCATTCACCGGGTCTTCTAGCAGCTGAAACAACTGTGAGGGTTGGGTGATGCAGTGCGTCACAGGCTTGTTCTGTCGCTCACGAAATTTCCCCCATAAGCTGAAA